GAAGACAGCATTTTTTAACATGAAAAGCTACTGAGGAGTAATGGCAAAGTCCACAAAAACAAAACAAAAGAAAAACAACAACAACAGACCAAGTGCTTTTGTTGCTATAGAATCCCATCACCTCCTAAAATGACGTGTATCATTTATCACCACAATAACTCAATGACGTGAGGAACTGTTTGTGTAAATCAGACAGGAAAAAAGATCAAATGACTCAACCAGTGCCATGGAAGGAGTCTGTGGTAGACTCAGGTATTGAATATGTCTCTCCAGACCTTGTTCGTGATCTTCTATTATAAGGTTATTTCTGTAGAGGAAAAAAAAAATAGATTACAAGGACTCAAAAGTATTTCACTGATTTTTGGTACCCTTATCAGATTTCCAACTATTGAGAAAAGTACTTAGTCCAGAATATTTTATGCAGGAGAGTTGTTTTACATTTGGATACACACAAAATGCTATTTTTAGAAGAAATATCAAATAGCATGTTGATGGAGTCCCCATCATCAACAACAAAAGAGCTAACATCCTTTCCATGGATATGCCACACTGAAGAGGGCTGAGATTTTCACACCACATGAAGGAACGCCACCTTCCAAAAAAAAAAAATAAAAAATAATTCTAACAGCTTCTTCATTTCTCCTATGAGCTTTCCACAGTACTCCAGGTTTAAAGCAGACAGCAGACTGTTTATTTTTCCACTGAAGAAGTTATCAGAATAGTAAACATGCTTCTTTAATGACAAGTTGTTGAAAGGCATTTTGAAAACAGAAAATGGGAACTTGATGTCTCTGGCAGCTCCAGTTCTTCTGCTCAAGGGACTCATATCTTAGGTTCAGGTTCCTCGCCCACAGGAGGCAAGAGTACAGAACAGCAAACTGGTACAGTCAGGGAACACCACAGTATCTTCCAAGGCAAAGGTTCACTTTCAGTCAACCTTATCTGCACAAGAGCAAAAACACCTCTTTTCATGGTAAGCAGAATAAACCACAGGCATGAGGGGCTGGAGATGCTTCAAATCCACTATATGTTGTACTGAAAGGCCTCTAAAAGCATCCTTCAGAGTTGTAAAGAGGTTCAGAATATTCATCAGGTGGATGAGGAAATTAATAATATCTATCTCTTGGTGAGAAAGTTCATAGCACTTGGATTTGGGACACCCAGGTGAACGGATTTGGATATCACAGTAACTCCACCACAGTGAGGCAGACCTGCTCCCCTCTGTTATTTCTTATTTCTTGCCAGTCAGCAGTAATAATGTTAACTTCATGACAAGGAGGGCTTTCTTGGGCTAATTTGCATTTAGTTCATCTAGGTCCCAGTCCTTGTTGCAGCAAAGTTTTCTGAAGCACCATACAGATGATTTGTTACCACAGTCTGAAATACAGGAAGCAGCTTACATGACAGTTTCCACATCTCTCTCTCTTTCATAAATAGACACATCTGTAAGCTGCTGGTTAACTGAAAGGTCAGTGTCTCTGCATTCCAGATGTGCATTTGGAAACAGCCTGACCTGCCAGCCCAGGCTCCACAAGTGTTTGGTACAGAGACTTTTGGAAGCTGTTCTTTGTGCTTGTGAAAGCATGAGAAGACAGTGTGGGAACTGCCCAGCAAACTCAGATTTATTACAACTTGATATCCCCAGTCAGAGAATATCCTCTAGGAAACGCACACATTCCTCTTTTGTATTCACCAATGCCTCCTACACAAGAAGAAGTGAAGACAGAAGCAACCCAAATTGCTTTCTACTGAAGCCACAGCCTTTTTTGTGATACCACAAATATACCCTATAAATGAATTCCCCACAGCAATTTGCTCGAAATAAAAATAAAAATAAAATAAAAAAATACAGCAACACCAAGAAAGAAACATTGGTCATGTAATTCTGCCACTCCATGCTGAAACCACAAGACCATCTCCCTCACTCTCAGCGGCAAGATGTGCTGTAGGCTAAGCCTCTTCTCTAGGAACCACATATGACTCTTTTGTCCTCACCAAGAACTCTCAACTCAAGCAGAAAAGGGAATAAGGAACAAATTAGAATCAGATGTTAAAAATAAAAAAAATAATAATAATAAAATAAAAAGGAAAGGAGACCACAACAGACACTCCTATCATTTGTCTGCTAGTTCAACCAATGACCCAAGATCAACCTCCTGAAAGAGCCATACAACAGCACATAAAATGTCTCCCCTCCCCATCCCCCAGTGCTTGAAATGAAAACACGCAGTGGAAAAGTCATTCAACCTGAATAAACTGACCTGGAGTTCAACAAACAAGCTTTAAGACACTAGTGATAAGAAGTTGAAACATCCAGTACAAACAAGACGACTGCACAGCAAGAGCCCTGAGCTACATGCAAGCTCCTTGGTACACAACAGAACACAGTGACTTATCTTTGAGGCTTTTGTTCTTGCTTCCACTTCTTGTGTTCAGGTACAAGACACCTATGTCATAGGGACAGGTTGATACATTAATTTACTCTTTGGCTTGTTTCAGATAGAGACTTTGATTGCAGACCTACGCTGCTGCTTTCCCATTAAGGCCTCTGATTAACTCCTGGTGGTAGTAATTAGAGCTGTGTGTCATTAAGCAGAGAGCAGATACAGCAACTTTCCAATCCCTACCTCCCAAAGGAAACACAAGTTTGTATGGCAGCTGCTTTCTAGGAGCTCTAATGAGTGTGAACATACAGCAGTGCACAGAGTTCAACTGCTGGATGGACACAGCCCAGCAGAGGCACTAGGACACATGCAGAGCAAACTGTAGACGAGTGGCAGCTAAGACAAAAAATGTAAAGGGAGACTTGTTGGCTGGGGACATCCCCATCCAGATTCATCATCCTATCTTTTTAACTCTTTAACCCTCACCTTTCTGTTTTGTCTTTGTCATCCACTGCACATACTGGACTTTTTCCCTTCCTTGTTGGGGATGGTGGGGGGTGACAAGGAAAGGTTATGGAGGATGAGCAGGGCAGAAGTGCAAGGATAGTAAAAGCTTACATTTGAAGTTACACAGAGTTGAACAACATGGTGGGCATTTTCACTTGCTGCCATAAATCTGCAGCTACAGATAAAATAGGGTCAGGTGGTGTCTTGCACAGCTCAGCAGTATTCTGAGCAGTATTTCCAGTTCATTTAACAGGCATTACTGTGGTCCTTTAGCAATGCTGGTAGTTGCAGGTATAGAGGAGACACATCAGTTCAGGCATGCACTTGCAGGATTTCACAGTGCTGTACCTGAGACCTAGCAGAACAAGGATGCAGAATGCCATGCCTAATGCCTCAGTCACTGCAGCACCTCGTGGCAAGACAGCAATAGTGGTAGGGCTTGCTACCTGCATGCTTCTTCAAGTAACCTGTGAACATCTTCACCAACAGTCAATACTGCGCACTGAACTTCACACTGAAATTCACACTGTTGTCTAAAGCCACCTCTGACACTCCTCCAAGGCTGCATTTAAAGTCTCATTTGTGCAAATTTCACTATCCCAGTGGTGGCCAGGGAAAATTCCCGTCCCAAAAGACAAGATGCAGGACACACATGGGGTCTTACCAAGCTGGACAAAAATCCACGGCTTTTTCAGAAACAGAAGTTCAAACGCAGACCTTGTCTGCCACAACGTGAAGGTTTCAGTTGGAGGAAATGTGTCACAGGAGGTGACATAGGAAACATTTTTTTCCTGCTGATTCACCAGTTCTTCTCTAAACCACCTGCACAGTCCCTAAATATTAATACTGTACAAGATACATATGATTTTTTTTTGGTCTGAAGAGGTCAGTGTCCCATTCAACATGTCTTTGTCAAGACCAAAGCAGAGACCATCTCAGGAACATTTCGGTTATACCCTGCTGACACCCACTTCACCCACTTTCCCACCAAGTAACCAAGTATCTCCACACTCTCCCACTGCTTTTCCTTTTTTTTTTTTTTTTTTTTTTTTACTGTTGAGGACCCTTTGTGTTTCTATTTCCTTATTTATATTTATCTTTAACAGCAGCTGACTTCTGAGCAACTTTGCAACTGTCTCTTTGCAGAGTGCATGAAGGACCCTCTGCCCTGCAGAACCCTAAACAACATCATCTGCTGCTTCTCTCCAATCTTTTTTTCTATCCATTATCTCACAAGGTAAAATCCTGAGATTTCCTTTATCCATTTTCTTCCTTCTCCTCCCTCCAGACATACTTTTGTGCTACGTTTTATTGCTTTGCTGAGCTCTGCCCCGGAGCTCCAGGTACCTAGTTCATTAGGACAGACCACAAGCACTGCAATACCCAGAGAAAGGAGCAGTGAGCCCTTAACTCTCCCCCGCTCCCTATCTGTCTCCAGGCGTTCCTGCAGATATTGGTATCCCCATTTATTCGTCTTCCCTGCAGTAACAGCACCACCTTTTGGCTCCCTGCGCGATGCTGTGGTTTCCCATCGGTAACAGTGATGCCTCTCTCTACATAGCTCCGAGTTGCCAGGAACGAGCCCGAGCCTACCTTACCTGTAGGCATTTCATCTGCCATACCTTTGCCTAGTAAAAGGGGAAGCTCACAAACCCCAGAGACGAGCAGTCATCTCCCCCAGCAGCCCATCACCCAATCTCTTCTTCTCCTAACTTTATAGCTTTTCAGATAAGATAACTGGTTAGCAATTAATTCCCCCTCCACCCAGCTTTGCCCTCAGAGCCCAGCAAAACAGGCAGTAGCACAGCTCAAAGCACACAGTTATTTTGCATCCTGAATGTACATAAACATGCCAATCCTTTGACCCTTCTCTAATTGGCCTACAAACACGAGGTGATCAAATGCAAAGGAACAGTGCTCATAAACCCAACGTCTTAGAAACAGCCATAAAGTAGTCATTTGTCTGGAGCTCATTGTGCCTCTAGCATAAAAAACAAGACCTGAAGAGAGATGATTTTTTTTTTTTTTTTTTTTTTGAGGCAAAGCAGTAGGAACTTAACACACAAAAAGAGAGATTACAACCCATGCATATATAAAGTATAAATTCACCTTCAATTTTCAGTCATGCTTGAAGAAGAGCCTGAAATCACAGGTGTTTGCCTCCTTTACTAGTAGCATCAGGCCTTAAAGCTAGAACAAAAAAGCTGCCATTACTTGATCCAGCTGGGACTATATCTACCCACCAAACCTCTCCCCAAGATCTAATGTATCCATCCCCCTTTATCGATCCGATTTCCACCAGCTGGGCTCTGGTCCTTCTTCCTGCCCGAGGGGTTAGTTGTACCAGCAAAGGTGAGATTCTTCCTATCAGGTGTAAAGCAGAACAGGTGTGCCCCTTTAATGGCGGAAATTCAATCCAGTCCAAGTAAGGAACTCAGAATTTTTTGAGTGCATTTAAATCAGTTTTGCTCAGGATTCTGCTGAATCCATTTCATTCTGGATGAAATATCACATGCCCTCCTTAAGCCCCCTTGGGAATGGCTAGAACTAAACCACCTCTTAAAGACCAATAAATGCATGCACCTGCAACTAGAGATTCAAGAAGATACCTGAAGATGTAGAGCAGATTACTGCTATCCTACAGGTCTGAGACTGAAAACAATTACAGGTTGACTCATGTTTCCTTGGACTATGACTATGTGCCTTGAACTTTGCAGCATTAGAAAGTGAAGCAGTCAGGTGTATTTGAAGTTATGCTCACAGGTATCTATGTTTGGATTTACAACATGTACCAGTAGCCTTGAATTAAATGAAGAATATTACATCAGATGACGCATTTATAGCAACTTTCAAAATCTAAGCATAACTTGGCAGTATCTTGCCTTCACTGCTCCTGATTCACCTGTACGTGAGTCTAGTTTCCTTTCTCGTTTGTTTCTTTTCTCATACAAAGCCCAGGAACCCAACTCTGCTGGGCTAACTCTGAGGATGAAACACAAGGACATGCAGATACCATCACAATATTGATGTCAAGATAGCATGGGCTCAGGTGCTGTCAGTCCCTAAAAAGTTAATGAAAAAATTGGTGCAATGTCTGGTGTGCTTTTGTCTTTCCCATTTCAGTTCTTCCAGGAGCCTGGTTCAAAGCAACTCTCGGTAGTGTTTCAGGGTCACATTTTGGCTAATCGGCAGCCATCTCTGGAATGAAAACTTGGCCGAAATGAACACATTAGCCTTCCTGTCACAGTATCTAATCTGAGTTCAAATGAAAAACAAATATGCAAAGACTGGAACAATGTTTGCATGTTAAAACAATCTGGATGAACACAACATAGGAAGGAAATAGCAAAGAGTTCAGGTATTTACACAATACAGCTGAATGCAGGCTTTGAGACAGCTTTTTGCTTTTTTTTTTTTTTTTTTTTTTTTTTAACAGCCTCATCCACCTAGGCATAGCTGTACCTGGAAAGGAAATTTCAAAACTTTCTGCATTACTTAACAGCAGCTCCAGCAGAAATGAGCAGCAGCTTTAGTAGAGGCCATTGGTAACATCTGTCAAGTTTTTTTCTTAATCATTTACAGCCTGACCCCAAACTTGCTGAAGTTAATAGAAAAAGTCCCATTGACTGCTATAGGCTCTCGTAAGAATGCAAATTCTCATTTTCAAATGCAGCTGCTATTAAGAAAAAGAGAGAAAAAACATTTGTCTCTTATATAGGCACTTAAGGATGGGCTTAGGTTCTATTCATTAGCAGCTTTATTTGGCAAATACAGTCCATGCTAGACTTCTGACTATCTGTACTTGTTCTGGATCAGGGCAAGATTTTAATACCATATAATCTTATTACAGAATATCTTGGAAGTATCTGGGATACAATATATACACAAACCCAACAGGAATTGAAGTTTCTCTGCTGAGAGCCAATTCTGGCCAGCAATTAGCAGCTCAGGCAGCCTCTGGAGCTGACCGACCCTTTTCTCTTTCCAGCTGGAGCTTGCAGATACTGTCCAAACCCAAAGACGTTTAATATATTTTGTCCTCTTAACTTACTGAAGAGAGTTCACTTACAGCAGCCCTAAAATACTAATTATTCTAATTTGTCCACAATACGAGTATGGGAAGTGAAACAACTCACTTCAACTGTCCTGTAGCTATCTCTGATAAGACACCTGGCAGGGTGCAGTAATCAGCTTTTTATTCTCAGACTGCTGCAGTGTCCATGAGAAGTATGATGTGATCATTAAAGGAAAACTGAAAAAACAGAAAGGCAAACAAAGAAACCAGCAGGAGAAATCCAATATAGTCTCTAATTATCCATTAGGCACAAACAACTCCCATATAAGTAAATAGTGCAAATGTAACATTGTTCTCTTATTTTATATTAAACTGTTGTTTTAGCAGTTGGATGAAAATTAAGATTTTCCCACGTGAAACTGAAAGAATCAGTCTCCTGAAAAATAAACTTGGTTTTGAATGTTGGCGGCTGTCTTCCTTGGCTTCCCCGGCACCTCAAGCACCTCGGGGCTTGGACGCTGGGAGCAGAAATAGAGAGAGCAAGTAAGAGCTTGGCACATTTTGACATGGGATTTTTTCTGGTATTTTTCTTTGAGCTACCCCTTTTGCTTCCCTCAGAAACCCATCCAAATCCTCCCGGCTCAGCCTTTGGCTCACAGGGCCAGCAGAGGGAGCTCAGGCGCTAGAAAACAAGCCTTTTCCCCTTGTTACCAAGACGTACGGTAATATAACTTAGTCCGGTTCTCTGCCCTAAAACCCCAAACATTCAGTTCTGAAACTTCCTCGTGGCACATAGAGGGATTCTGAGGATATCTTTGGGCTTGTTTAATTTTCAGGGATTTTTATTTTTTCAAATTACTTTTTTTTTTTTCTCTCTCTACATTTTCCCTTTTACCTGATATTTTCAGCTGCTGTAGCAACACTCAAAACTTTCCCAGTTTTCCATTATTTGCCAACAAGCTGTGGGCCTTGCCTGTGAATGAGCCCTCCATTGATGTTGAAGCCAGCCCTGGACTGGCCTGCCTGGACCAGCCCTCTTGGAAAAGAACTTCACATCATAAAGCCACATTGCCTTCCCACAGTAGTTCCCTGGCTTTCAATCTCCCCAAAACATAGAGAACATGGGAGTATAACTTTCTCCTTCAAGGCACTGGTACTCATGGGGCAGGACAATTCATAGCATGACTTTTTCTTCCTTACTACTAGTACACCAAGCTACAAGAAGCTCCTGAACAGTCTTGAAGATTTTGGAGAATGAAATGGCAGGTGAAATTTAAGACAGGTTACTATGACATGGGAGAAAAAAAAAATCCCACTGGCTAAAAAATCAGCACCTGTCTTATGTGGCCATGCCAATTCCCCAGGTGAATATCCTCTCTGACTCAACACAGGACTTTCTGGAAGAGTCAGAATTACTTAAATAAGATGTCTTCAGTCTCACAGCCTTATGGGAATTATGAAAACACAGAAAGTATAACTTTCTCTTCTCAGCATAATTTCTAACATCACCGAATCCATTGTTGTGCAGCAGGTGAGCAGTTACTCCTGTCTGAGCCTGACCGAATGTCCCTATCAGGAACATTAAGTGCCTAAATGTGAAGTTCAGAGAAAGGACTTAAGTCCTTTAAGACAACATTCAGCTGCTCTTACCCTTCAATTTTAAAGTTGCTTTTTCATCAGAACAGTGTGGAGTTACCAGCTTTTCTTTACCAGTAAGAGAATAAACATCTTGCATTTTCCACTTATCTCTGTTAAATTTTGATCCAAAAAGGGATAAGGGCTTTTAATCCTTCTTCAGCTCTAAAATATCACTGGAGGATACAACAAAGTAGCCCCAATATAACAAAGGCAAAGCAAGGCAAGGGGGAAATGTAAAAGGAATAAGGAAAGGAAAATAAGGAAAAAGGGAAAGGAAAAAAAAAAAGAAAAAGGAAATAAACAACCACAGCAGAATTTCCAGTTTGCGAAGAAGGGCAGTGAATCACAGAAATTGTGCAATTTACTCATGAGAAATATTAGCCCAGTCCTTAGAAGTCTCAAGTTAAAAAGCACTTTGTTATAAATACAACACCTTGACATTCTATTAAAAGCCAGAAACACTTAGATTCTCAAGCCCCCTAAACAGCCAAGTAATTGTAGTCATCTGATGCATTAAAAGACCTGTATTTTTAGATTTAGACATCTGCTAAAGAAAATATTGGGATTTTTTCCAGTAGGTGTCATTTTTGTCTGCTCTTCCTTTCTTTGCTAAAGGTTAATGAAAGTAGTAAGAAAACATTTTCCTTGGAAAGTCAAGGGTATCACTGCCTTCCTAGGGAAATGGATGGTATCTGGGAGAAGAAACCATGTCATATGCGAAAATGATGGTTTTGACCTGAAATCTCTGAAGGCTGCTTGGGAACACTCAGAATTGGCGCTGACCCATGGTCATTTCTGTATTAAAGATCTTGGCAGGCAGGTCCAGATTTTGCTCAAAGTCCAGTTCTGTGTGTTTGGCACTTTAAAATGAAGATCCTCCTCATCATTTTGTCCATTTCAACCCTGCCTATCCTTGGTCTCAGCAAACCCTCTGGTTACCTTCCCCTGTGCTGCTGGAGAGGTGAAATTCATGGTCTGCACATGGACATTTCTGGTGAAAAACTTCTTAAATCCTCTCCCTGCTACACAGGGAGCACTGAACAATAAATTCCTTCCACAGAGGGAAGTCAGGCCATGGCCTCCTGGAATCACAGTAAAACCAGACAAGGGATGGTTTCCCATCTGGCAAAGACACCATCTCTGCATTGTGCAAACCTCTGGAACAGGACTTGCAAGCACCTACCCAACACGACAGCCAACAGTAGGTCAACAGTGCTGGCACATAAAATCTGGCATAGCTCAGTGGCCAAGTGTAAGACATACTACTGATTTTATAACTTTTTAATAGTTTTTACTAATCACTCTTTGTTAATCAGTCTTTATTAACCAATCGTTGTCCCTGCACAGGAAAGTTTCACCCCATGGCAGAGGGAGCTGGAGGAAACCTGTGCTTCCCCAGAGACAGCTTAGAGCAAAGCCTGGCATCAGCTGCTGCCAGAAGGTTTAAAGATGATAGACTGCACCTTGGCTTGAAGTGCTGGAGCTCCAGCCAGACATGAGTTTACTTTTGCCAGTTTGGCTAATGCAGCAGTAAGCTGTGACAGGAGAACAGGGCAAAAGCAGCCCTTGCTCCTTGCTGATCCCTAGCCCAGAGGGCCCTGAGGAAGAAGATGCACAGAT